TTGAAGCTACCTGCACCTTGTGTATCAGCAAGCTTACCAGCTTTATACCTTGTCTTCAATGTTTCAGTCTTCAAGCTTACTCTTAGGTTATCCAAGGGATTTTACCAAATAATATATTATCACTCAAAAGTCTATACTATTTCCTTATAAGCTATTTTGCTTGGGGATGGAAATGACATTGAATGCCTTCTTTATGGACTAATTGTTACTTTTTTTTTTGTTGGTAAAAAAGGAGAAACATATTATAAATACTTAAGATCTGGGGTAACCGACCCCTACAATATCAACAGTAAACAAAAGGTCCACATTAGGTGGACAATCATACAAAATATGAAGACCATAAGAGGAACGAGCCCCTTTTTTTGCCAACGCATCTGCAACCATATTACTCTCCCTCATAACATGCTTCAGTTGAACCCAGGGGAGAGTGCACAAAAGGTCCCTACAGTCCAAAATTAGAGTACTGTGAGGGTGGTGAGGATTAGAGGTACCAAATAAAAGAGCATGAGCAACTTGACAGTCAGTTTCCACAATAAGATTTTGGATTTGGAGATAATTAGCCATAGAAAGACCATCCCTGATTGCCCATAACCCAGCAGCAAGAGAAGTAGTGTGGCCAATATTTCTCATAAATCCAACAACCCATTACCCTTGTGAGTCTCTAATCAAACCACCACATCCTGCATAGCCTGGATTGCCAATAGTAGATCCATCTGTGTTGAGTTTAAACCAAGAAGATGGGGGTGGATCCCAAGAAAAAAATCTGGTATGGTGAAGGCGAGCAATACTAGCTTTGTGATTAACCGACCAGAATTCTGTGACCCTTTCGATGATCAGATTGCAGATTCTGCTAGTATCCATATCTTGTTGCCGATCCAAAAATTGGTTTCTTCGATTCCAAAGGGTCCAAAGAGCAAAACAGAAAATAGCAGCCCAAGGAATGTTGAAGAAAGGGCTAGAAGATCTATTGTTGCAGTGAAGATATAGCCATTGATAAAAATCCAGTATATTATGGTTAGCAGTGAATTCAGAAGATAACCTATTGAGGGTATCAACAGCAGGGGGGCAATTACGAAAGATGTGATCTAAGGATTCAATCTGCTCCTTGCAGATTTTACAAAGAGGCTTATCCACAATACCAAGGTGATGAAGATACTCTTAAGGATTTAATTAATTGTTACTATTTTTGTTCCTAAATAAAAATTGTTTGTGGATTATTTGGGAATCTGTTGTTGCACCTTGATTTATTATTGTTTTGCTTTCAGTGATATGTTTCTTGATGTGATTATAAGAAAAAGAAAAATCATAGTTAGTTATAGCTAACAAACTCGGGGGAATTATAAGGGAAAATCTAGATTAATTATCTAATCTGAAAAGTGTTTTGAACGGAAAGCACTTTTCTTGTATAGTTTGATTCTAAATACTGAAATTACTAAAATTACTAAAATATCATTAATAAAACTGATCTCCATATTAGTTCATTAATGATGTTTCGGTACTTTTAGCACTTAGATTGCACACCAAAATGCAGTTGGTACTAAAAAAACACATTTTTCCAATCTATTTTAAGTTTTATTTTAATAAAATTACCCCGAATAATAGAGTATTATGAAATTTCAAAATTGCCACTGATAGATTGTTTGATTACTTTTGGTGTCCAATTTGGACTCAAATTTACAGATTACAAAGCTCGTTGGTGAAAATACCCAAGAAGAACAGGAAA